TGCCTCTAGATAGGCAGAGCCAGCTGTCAGTCACGCAGCTGGGCGGATCCCAGCACAATTGTTGGGATCCGCTTCAGCTGCGGCGTCTCAGTATACCGTGAGCTACAGCTCGCGGTATACTGAGCCTAGAGTGACGGGAGGACGCTAGTTTGTGTCCTCCCGTTACCCTAAGGAGAACTATGGGGAAAAGCCTTAACCCCATAGTTCTCTAAGTCTGAATCATGAGAACGCCATAATAAATCAATGGCATAATAAATCAATTGTTGGGATCCGCTTCAGCTGCGGCGTCTCAGTATACCGTGAGCTACAGCTCGCGGGATACTGAGCCTAGAGTGACGGGCGGAAGCTAGGTTGGGTCCTCTTTCTCTAAGTCTGAATCATGAGAACGCCATAATAAATCAATGGCATAATAAATCAATTGTTGGGATCCGCTTCAGCTGCGGCGTCTCAGTATACCGTGAGCTACAGCTCGCGGTATACTGAGCCTAGAGTGACGGGAGGACGCTAGTTTGTGTCCTCCCGTTACCCTAAGGAGAACTATGGGGAAAAGTCTTAACCCCATAGTTCTCCTTTAAGTATCAGGCCAGGCATCGGAGCATTTGGGCGAGTAAGAGTACTCGCCCAAATACTCGGCATCGGCACCGTTACATATACCAGTATCGGTATCGGTGCATCCCTACTGTCAAGCACAGTGAAGGATGGGTGATGAGTTGGGCTTGTTTTACAGCCACAAACACCTCTGTATAACAAAGTATTCTAGAGTCAAATGTGTGTGCATCTGTCCAACAGCAAATGCTTGGCCGAAATTGGGTCTGGCAACAGGACAATGATCCCAAGCACACCAGCAAATGCACAACAGAATGGCTGAAAAAAGAAAAGAATCAAGGTGTTGCAATGGCCCAAAGTATAGATGTCAACCTGTGCAAAAACAAATTCCTGCAAACCTCAATGAACTGAAGCAACGTTGTAAAGAAGAATTGGCCAAAAATTGCTCCACACCGATGGGAGAGACTGATAAAGTCATGCAGAAAATGATTGCTTCAAGTTATTGCTGCTAAAGGTGGTTCTACAAGCTATTGAATCATTAGGTCTACTTAGTTTTTCACATATAACTTCTCCATTTTGGCTTTATGTTTGTAAAATAAATGATGACACGGTGTAATATGTCATGTGTTGTTGTTCATCTGTGGTTGTATTTCCTAATTTTAAGACCAGGTGATTTTTATTATGTCCTGATACGTAAAACCATACAATTCAAAGAGGGTGTACTATCTTTTTCACACGAAAAAGAGGAGCCCCATAATAAGAGTTCTCTGTGCCAAAGGAGAAGGGGGGGGGGGCAGCAACACTGGGGGGCATAAAAAGATATCTACTTACATACATCAATATGGCTCAACCAATGGTAGTCTGGCACATGGGGTCCCGTATCATGTCTAGCAATGGTAGCCAAATGTATTGCAACATTTTTGAGGCTCTCCTATTGACTAAAATTGTACATTTTGGTAGCAGCTCATTTATGTAAATTGGATGACATGAGGTGAGGTGAGTGTAGAAGAATCCTGCAGATTCAAGCAGATTGCTTTTTTTGGGCACGCCATGACATCCGTATACAGTCTACTCTTCTCTGTAACTGGGTTACTGTCACAGAAGGGGAACTACACGCATGTCTTCTATGTTTCACCGTTTATGTAACACAGATATTTGTGGGTTTAACTGGAAGGCTTCTAGATGAGGAACCCACACGGTGCAACAAGACACAGCATCCTCATCGCTCATGACCATGCATAACATGTAGCATTTTGGGCAAAGCAAACCACAGTCCCATCTATATATATATACACGCTGTGGCTTTTATGGTGTGTGTGTAGTGCTGAAAGAATACTGAAAGCTGAAGAGGCGTTGGGGGTGAAAAATATTCAAAACGAAAACAAAAAATAAAAAAATCCATCTAATTCTCTAATTTGCCTGTGTCTGCTTTTTTTGATTTTGAGACCCGTAAAGAGGATGAGAGTGCCACAGCACTAGTACGAGTCTAGTAGATTATTATTGTATAGGAGGAGGTGAAGAACCCAACGCATTTTGGCATTCAGAACCTTCCTCAGGGTTTAAAAACTGGCAGTAATTGTGGATAAAACCGCACCCGGGTGACACCATTGCAGGGGTGACACCAAAATAACTGACGGTCATTTTGGTGTCACCCCCCATAAAAAGTCAGGCACTCGGTCATGGACCGTTGGATTTTTGAGCTTTAGCGCTGTCAATTACATTTTTTTAAGGAATGGTGATCTCAGTAAAGAGCTGAACGCGCGCCTTCCACCTACGAGGGCAATTCTGGACTGACCTGCAGCAGTGTCCTTTCTGTTCATGTGTACTAACTACTGGGAATGAGGTTTGGATTCACTGCTACCAGGGATAGATAGATAGATAGATAGATAGATAGATAGATATTGTAAAAATATGTTTCAGGATAAATGTTACATCAAAAGTAAAAACATTATCAGAACAATTTTTTAATTTTTTTGGTTTACATTGTCAATTTTTATGCCTAAAATAAAAAATAAAACAAACATATTTCTGGACCTCGGGGCAAATCATTACACGATTATGTTTATTGTTCAGAGTGATATTAGATACAACAGAATACCCTCCTGTGGTACTTCACATACTGACCAGAACCTCCTCCATGCTGGGGAGCCAGGTTCTGCATGGTCTGTGCAATGCTGTGAACATGCCCTAGGTGGTGGAGTCACTCCAAGGCTGAGGATTCTCTTTCATCCTTTGGAGAAGGAGAAGGCCATTTGCATTCTGGCACCTGCCAACTCTTGTGTATTGGAGGACATACAGGGAAAACCTTTTTGATGTTTTTGAATTTGGGTGTCACCCATTCCTAGGCCTAGCATAGCATCCTAAAGACGGCTCCCAGTTCACACCTTTCTGCAGACCAGGACTTTGATGTTGTACCATCAAATGAAATGAAGTGAAACTAAGCAGGTGCCTTCTCTGTGTTACATAAACAATTTTAACAACAGCTAGATATTTTTTTTAAAAAACATAAGAAAAAAAAAGGAAAGAAAACATGAAAACAGGTTGTATTCAATTTTTATTTAAGTGCAGGTAAGAAATAAAATACAATATAATTTAAAGCGACCTAACTAAGTACAAATGTTTCATCTAATAACCAGTTTCCTGTTGAGAATAGATTGTGTTAGAGAGTGACCACATGTCCACCAAGTGTTTCCATCCTTGACCCTCATATTATTGGGAATTCCTCAAGAGGTGGACTCACAAATTCTATAATCATATCACAACAATGGATTACATATCTGTGTCTATTATTTTCAAGATTGTTTTGAGGAAGGATTGAAGGGCCACCCCATGTTCTCCAGGTTGTCCGTTGTCCTGTAGCTCCTCCTTAAGTTTTGGTTATACTTGAAGCTGTTGGAAGGCCCTCCGGTACCTAAGGACTTCTGCTCTGAAAATGTATTGGGTTTGCAAAGATGTCTCGCTCTTCGGTTCTGAAACCAAACCTGAAAAAAAAAAAAAAAACAGAGGTTGTCAAATGTTGTTTATTAATAAATGTAGTAAGCAAGGGAGCAGAACAAAAGTTTTTAAATAGTTTTTAGTTTACAGTTTTAATATTTTATTATTTAGTTTGGAAGTGATAAGTAGAAGTGTGTAAGTCGCTGGCCATCCCCAATAAAACAATTTCAAAAATAAAAAAAGAAGGTTTATATATATATACAGTATCTTCTATATAAAAGTAAAAAAATTTAGTTTAATTTATCAAAAAACTCTACACATAAATATCTTTGTAAATCAGCGTGTTTGTGTGAGAACAATACTGAAGACTGTAACTGGTAGAAAGTCACTTGCACTCCAGAAACTTTTGTAGTCAATCTTCTTTATTGACCATCAAAGTGTCACATAAGTTTAAAGTTATGTGACACTTTGATGGTCAATAAAGAAGATTGACTACAAAAGTGCAAGTGACTTTCTACCAGTTACAGTTTCTGACATGCAGAGGCATCTGCGGTCGCTCCAGCATCCCGCAATGGGATCTACCATATTCCAATACTGAAGACTAACCCGGGCTGCTAAGAAAATATCTTACCTGTATTCTCGGTTCTGGAATCCCTGCGATTTCTGCAATACGGCATCGTGTCACGAAGTCTGGGTATGGATTGAGATCGAACTGGTTCTGGAGGAAGACGGTCTGTTCCCTGTTGTAAATTGTCTTTTTTCTGAACTTGGCGTTCGAAAGGACGGCGCGGGAGTTGTGAACGGCTTCCATGGAATATTTGGTATCATCCATCTCCGCTTCGCACATCTTTCCTGGGGAGAAAATAAAGTGTAACTAAAACTATCCACCAATTCAATAAATAATTAGAATAAATAAATGGTTAATAAAGTCTTAATATATATATATTGCAGATTTTACCTTTCTTATTGGACTAACATATTATTTAAAAGACAAGCTTTCCAGATTAAACCTCTCTTCTTCAGAAGAAATACTCAACCTGACCTGAAGAAGAGAGGTTTACTCTCGAAAGCTTGTCTTTTAAATAATATGTTAGTCCAATAAGAAAGGTATCACTGCACACTGCAATGCCACGTTTTTGTTTTTTTTTACATCTTCTCTATTAGACTAATACGGCTTACCCACTTAGACTATATATATATAGAATAAATAAATAATACATTAAATAAATGAAATATTTTCTATACAAAATAATGTTGGAAATTGAAAAGTCAACAAGCTGCTTCCTTTAACAATAACAGCCAATGCAAAATATTATTATTATTATTATTATTTTTATTATAAAATAGGATTTATATAGCGCCAGCAGTTTGTGCAGCGCTTTACAATATAAGGAAGACATTACAATCACAATACAATTCAAGACAAGATGGTAAGTAGGGCCCTGCCCGTGTATAGAAGAAACAGAAAAAGATTAAAGTGTGTGTCCAGCCCAAACTTTTTTTTTCTGAGTTTTGTATAGAGTGTGGAAGGGTTAGAATTGTACTACTATCCAGGGCTCTGCTAGAGAGATTTACCCTCACTTCCCATCCTACTAACCAGACTGGAAGTGAGCAAACTCTTAAAGCAACACAGCAACACAGACAGAAAGAAAAATATTTTGCTTTCTAGAACCCCTGTAAGATTTTCATGTTTGTCTAAGTCCTTGTTGCAGATTTTCCATCACTTTCTGTCTGCTAAAAGGTTGCCAGCAGAACAGAAACCTAGGGTTGATATCTCAAATTGAACTCCAGATAGCAATAAAAATTAGGCATATATATATATCATTTAATTTTATTATAATCCTTCCACGTTGGCTTGACACACACTTTAAGGCCCAGATTACAATAACAGTAATTATATTTCGCTGTGCCTTTTTTATACCGAATTTAGACATACAAATAAGAATAAGATGGACATAGAAAGAAGTAGAGGAAGAAAAGGAAGAAAAATAGATAATCATCTTAATAATATGTAGACAAAAATGACAGTTCCGAAGCCAAAAGGCTAAGGGCTGGAAGTCATGGAGGGCTTTTTAGGCAATTATAGGACCAAATATATATAATATAGGTCCTATAATTGCCTAAAAAGCCCTCCATGACTTCCAGCCCTTAGCCTTTTGGGTTCGGAACTATCTCTTTTGTCTACATATTGCTTTATGGATATGGCTGTAGGACCTTCCCCTCTTGAACATAATCATATTACTAAATTATCTTAATAATACTTACTTTTTAACACTTTGTAGTTTTGATTGTTGTTGAGGTCTGCTCGGCTGTTCATGTCTGGTGCAATTTGAGATATTTGTTCACTGAAACTTCGGTTCATGCTTTGGTAATTCCCTTCCTCTTGTTGGTAACCCAGGTAGGTGAAGAGTTCTAGCAGAGTCTGCTCTAAAACATTTGAGACCTTAGGTGGCTCTGAAATGTTCATGATTGAAAGAAGGTTGGGCAGTTCTCCAATGGGGCTAACTTGATTATTCAGGTTGCTCAGGGGAGGAGACGATATTGGGTAGTCTTCTTCAAGAGAAAGGATAGTGTAGATGATGTGATCAAGCTCTGTGTCCATGTCTGATCACCCCAGCTTCTCTTAGTGGAAATAAACTACCAGGCTACCCAAACTAACTTATATCTTCCAAGATGTGTATTGGAGAACTGTGTGGCATCTGCGTTTGATCTGCCCATGAGGTATGAGTGTAAACAGTACACTTTGATCCTTTTTAGGCTTTCACACCCACCTCTCCTTTATATTCTAGGGATCAAAATATGGGATTTGATATGTAAATAGGTTGACATTCATTTGTTGGGGAGTAACCGGACCTCCTGTTTTACATAGACCTGTTAGTTATGCAGACACCTGACATTACAAATATCATTGTCAACTAAGCAAAAGTATATTCCCTTAGTTAGATTTTTTTTTTTTAAGTATATCAGCAAAACGGTGGTGAATATAACATATTATCAATATTCTTAAGCTTACCTTACCACTGTAACCACGTGTAAACCAGTTTGGCTTATATAATATTGCCCTCTATCGTCTAGTTCTATGCAAACATCCTCTAAAGATTTCTAACACATGTCAACCTTAACTTGTATTATTTATTTGCCTATTTAAATTAAAATATGAATACAAATATAAATATAGTATCAAGAATACTATATTTATAGTATAGGAATGTGCATTTAAAAAAAAAAAAAATACAGAATCAGAGTTTTGAAATCTTTCTATAATACCTGGAAAACAAAACTATAACTAATAAATAGGTGTCTTGCTGCACTCCATACCGGTATAGGATGTTCCTTGAAATACTGGTGGGTGCTCGTAGTGACCACTGATGGCGGCGTGAAGATATACAGGTTTGCAAAAGGATGTCACCAGCACACTATTTAAGTGAAATCAACAAAAGCCCATTTATTAATATACTACTGTCATTCCAATACAAGCGCCTGATGAAGGGGACCCTGTGCGGCCCCCAAAGCGCTTGTACTGGAATGACAGTAATCCATTATTAAATGGGCTTTTGTTGATTTCACTTAAATGGTGTGCTGGTGACATCCTTTTGCAAAACTATTACTATTCTGGAGTCAAATGAAAGCTCTATCTGTCTTGAGAATATTGAATAAAATAGATCTGGGTCCGATGTTGTATTACAAAGTGACTGTCAGTCAAAGTATTGCAGCACTGAAAACGGAAAAATTGCAGGGTAATGAAGGGGTGTTATAGGCTGGTACTCAAGTGGTTAAATGTCCCGTCTTAGAGCAGATACCATAACCTGCCTGTTATTACCTTCCATAGACAGGAAACCCTCTTCTGTGCACCTCTCTGATTTAGTTTCACTTGGTTACAGAGGCCTGATTTCCATTGTCTTCATAGCAAAGCCCTGACAACTATCAGTTCACTATCCAATTGGGTTGTCTGGCAGTGACTAATAAAGTCATGCCACACCAACAAATACTTCAACACAGACAACATCCAGATCATTCATAAATTGCTTTAAAAAAAACTGGAATAGGCACCGATTCTTGTTCTACTCTACTCGGTCAGGGGAAAAAAAAAGAATGGCCCGTACTGGGATCAAACCCGCGACCTTGGCGTTATTAGCACCACGCTCTAACCAACTGAGCTAACCGGCCAATCGCTGTGCAGGTTTCCACTTCAATGACCAGGAAGATAACAGAATAGTTTTGCAGACACCCGACTTCCTTAACGGGACTTCCAGTATCGCTATTCGGTATCGGCAAGGGTGAAAAAAAAATATCGGTACTCGGTACCAAAAAACGGTTTTGATGCATCCCTAATCTTTATATACTTTAAATCTTTAGAGTATATAAAAAGCCAAAGTGTTTTTTTTAATAAATATATAATTTTGGATCATGTGAGGAAGTGTTGGAGCCTCCGTTAGATTTTTATTACTGTTTGTTGTCCAGACTGGGGGATATTTACCTCTCTTTTTCACCCGATCACCATTGCCTCCAGGGCAGAAATTGGCAGGAAATTAAACATCTTTGTCACAGGAACAGGAATGGGGGGGGATTCTTCCAATGGGGACTACCTGTCCTATCGACATTTGTTAACCACTTCAGTTCTCATAATTGTATACCCCTTATAGACCGGAGCAATTTTGTAAATTTCCAATATGGGCCTGTTTATTAGGCGATAACTTTGTTATTACCTAAAGTGGAAATTTCCCCAGATCTTCAAACTAGCAACAAGGGAACCCTCAGAAATGTTTAGTAATGACAAAATGATGAAATGGCCGCCGCTCATTCTGCACTTTTAGTGTGCGGTTTCGGAGGCTCCTTGCCTCCGAATCCGAAACAGCATAAAAATTTGTTTCCTTTGACGAATCGAATGAAAACGTTTTTAGTTTTAATTTGTTTCGACTGGAAACTATTTTTTTTGTTGTGCACATGTCTAATAAATAATACATTTCAGAAAAAAGTTGTGTTGCTTTTTTAAGTCCCCTTGTTGTCTTAGACCAGGAATCTGAAATGTATTTTTAGAATCAGTTAACTAAAAGCTTTATTTTTTGGGAAAAATTAGAAACCTTTTCACTACTAAAGACTTCAGAGTTTTATTCTCTGGAGCTGTTGATTTGGAGTTGATTTACTAAAGTCAAACAGGCAGTTCACGTTTAGAGAATTTTTATTTTGCAAGGGAATTTTCCCTGAGCTTAGTGAATGAGGTGAAGCTCCGCTGACTTCCATTGTCCAATCACGTGCAAGCAAAAATATAGTTTTTTTCTTATTTTTCTTGTACCTCTGATTGTTTTTTTTGTCCAAGATGAATTTTCACCGCATTCACTAAGCTAAGGGAAAATTTACTGTGCAAAGTGAAAATTCTCATGAAAAGTGAACGGCCTATTTGCCTTTAGTAAATCAACCCCAAATCATCAGCTCCAGAGAATCAAACTCTAAAGTAAATGTCTACTCTGTAGAGAAAAGGTCTTTCCTTTTTCCAAAAAAATGCAAGATTTTAGTTAACTGACTCTAAACATAGATTTTCAGATTCTAAGCCTAAAACAACAAAGTGGCTTTGAAAAAAAAAAACAGGTTCTACTTTTTAGCAAGTCAACTCTGCCGTGACCAAAAGCAGTGTAATTATTAATTTTGTGATCCTTTTGATAAAGAGCTTGTTGTTTAAGACCCAGAAAAAAATGCAAAGTGTAATTGTTGAATTAATTTATATAATATAATTTATATATTATATA